TAGCCTTATCCCCAGACGGTCCGACATCTTGCGGCTCGGAGGGACGGACGTCCCATTCCATTTGGCAATTTCTTCCTCGATCGCCGCATATTTTTGTGCCATGGCTAGCACCTCGGCATAACTGCTACCGGGGTTCCTCTTCAAATCCATGTACAGATCCCCGGTTACAAGTGCTTTGGTGAATAGGGTGATGCATGTGCGCCCCGTGAGGTCCTCGACCTTCATGGTTTCATCCCTCCACCGTATGAGGAAGGTGGAAAGTGTTTCCTCCTTCCCTTAGCGGACACTCATCAACCAGTTGAAGTGCTTCTTTGGCGTGGACCTGGAGATGAACTTTGCCATGAACTGTATGGATACGGGCCTGAGCTGCCCGAACCATTCCTGCGCCAGCCCTCTGAGGGTGCTAAAGAAGAGCCGGCAAATGGCTTCATCGGAAGCTCCCAGCATGGAGAGTTCTCCCTGGAAGGAAAGTAGGTGGGCTTTCGGGTCCCCAGCCCCATTATAAATCAGGGAACCGGACGAACGGCCGAACGTCCCTTGGAATCTCTGCCGCCATGATTCCGGCAGAGAAAGGAGAGAGTAGTGCAAACCTGGGCTGAGCTGGGTCAGTATCTGCTCGTTGGCTCAGTTCATTGATATGCCTTTAGAGGTCCACGATCATCGCATCTCGAGGTTCGGTGACTGGGGTTACGGGGGTCATCAGTTCCAAGGCATTTTGGGTACACACGGCGTCAACGCCATGCTGCCTGTTAATGATACGGGCCTCCTGTCTCAGGCCGTTGATCACGGGGGTCTGCTCTCGGGCCGTGTGATCATTATAGGTCATCATCGGGGTGGGGTCTCGGACGCGTGCTGTTGTGCACCTTTGAAGACCCTGTGCTTGGCTCCCTCGGCTCCGCCCGTATCTGGAGAGTGGACGTTCCTGACGATCCTAGTGTGAATCGAGGAGCGAGACTCCGCGGTCTCGCTTGTAAGTTCGTCGAGCGTCTGCATAGTGAGGATCGGGGTGACCGGGGTAGGCTCGGTGTTAGCGGAGTACACCCGCTCCGCCTCTTGCTCATTCGCTAAAACGCAGATGGTATCCGCCATCTCCCTCAGTGCATTAGGGTCCCTCCTGAGTTCGTGGGGAATCATGTCAGTAAGCACCCCTAGGTCCCCACGGCTCCACAAGTTGTTGGATTGGGTGCCTGCCATCTGCTGGCAGGCTCTTCGGCTGCGTGACAGCCTTTCGGAGAGATCATAGGAGCTTCCTTCATTGTTCCTTGCCATCTTACTTGTTTTGAGTGTTTAACAGCGATTTTCAGCGGAAAGCTTGGTTCTGGAAGAACTTTTTGATCAGTTTCCCACAGACGGCGCTAGTGTTGAGGTTTATTCCCTTCAAACCGTAGACCCAACACACAACCTAGGTGTTTTGAGTGGGTATTTTAGGAGAGTAAGATCAAACAAGTAAGATGAGATCCAATAAGAAGTCTTGGTTATATTCTCACTGTTAAAGACGTGAGGCCGTTCGTGCTTACAAGGTGAGGACGTCCGTCCAGTGATATGCTATGAGATAATAAGAATGTTATAATACTAGAGTGCTAAGTTGCCTCCCTTTACAATGAAATAAATGCTACTATTTATACCGCCAATGGATAGTAAGATGCATTGAACCCAGTTGTGGATGACTTGACTCCAAACACCAAATCCTTTACAATAAATGCGTGACCACCAGGATCTTGGTTTCACGCCAAAGGGTGGGCATGTTCATCCCCATGGGCTTGTCTATCTTGATCCCGACAATCAAATCTTCTGCATTAAATGCACAACCACCAAATATTCTGTATTAAATGCAGAATCCCGCCAGGATCTTGGCTGTCCGCTATATGGATGGGGACGTTGTCCCCAAGTCCTGCTCCCGGACCAAGGTATATGCTACGCTAGGATATGTACGTCCCTTGTATGATGGGGAAGTGTATCCCGTTGTCTTGGGTCTTCAGAGGACGTTCGTCCTTGTTTCCTATCGAAGTCCTTCGAGACATGCGTCTGGTGATGCTCCTGGGCCAAGGTACATTGTACGCTAGAATACGTACGTCCCCCGGATGATGGGGAATGGTGCCCCGTTGTCTTGGGCCTTAAGGGGACGTTCATCCCCATGGTCCTAACTGATGTTTTTTGCCAAATACCTTCGAGACGTGCATCTCGTAATGCTCCTGGGACGAGTACATTGTACGCTAGAATACGTATGTCCCCTGAATGATGGGGAATGGTGCCCCGTTGTCTTGGACCTTCTGGGGACGTTCGTCCCCATGAACTTATCTCATGTTCCTTGTGAGACGTGTGTCTCGTTCTGCTCCTGGGCCAAGGTACCTGCCACGCTAGGATACGTACGTCCCTGGATGGGGAAGGGTATCCCGTTGGCTTGGGCCTTCTGGGGACGTTCGTCCCCATGGGCTTACCTCGTGTTTCCTGCTGGGCCAAGTCCCTGTGAGACATGCGTCCCGTTCTGCTCCTCAGCCAAGGTACTTGCCTACACTTGGAGACGTACGTCCTCTTCTCTTTGGCCAAGTTGGGGATGAATATCGTTAGAGGGCTAACCCGTTGTCTTGGGCCTTCTCGAGACGTTCGTAGGGTAGGCCTTTAAGGGTTTATGGACCAATCCCCATTGGGCCATTAGCCCAACAAACAATTATATTTCCTTTAAAGACATGAGAAAATCTCTTTCCTAAGGATGTTATTGGTAATATTGAATCTGTTTTATGAGTTATGAAAGATGATGTATTATTACTATTTCTACACTAACTTCCTAATCATAATGAATGTTTTTCTCATTAGTGAGTTCTCATCTTATGAGCAGTCAGACATTGGTCCAAGTCTTATCTTGAAAAGTCGTCAACAATTACAAGAACATATTTCTTATTTCCAGATTATAGTCAGACATTGGTCCAAGTATATCTTGAAAAGTTATCAACAATTACAAGAACATATTCTTTATTTCCAGTCTAGAGTCAGACATTGGTACACATAGATTCATTTGAATTAGTTTAGGTTTACTCGTGCTCACATTTTTTTTAAAAGAGGTTCGTGTTTGTTTACTGGTGGCACACGCGGGACAAATATGATCAAAAGAATAGTTTATATTAGGTAGCCCATCTACCAAATCGTGAGCTTTGAGTTTATTTATTAAAGAAAAGCTAGCGTGTCCACGCCTTTTATGGCATAGTAGGGGATCATTGTCAGCAACACTCAAACAAGTCAATCTAACATTTGGAAAAAGGTCAAGATCTACCTTATAAGTATTATCAAATCATATGCCTTCAAGTATAACTTGTTGAGATTTATTATTGACAATCCGACAATTATTATGATTAAAAATAACATTGTTACATCTGTCGCAAAATTGAGAAATGATTAGCAAATTAAATTTCAAACCATTGACAAGAAAAACGTTGTCGGGTGAATGGTAGGTGACTTTCCAATTTTTCCCACTGCCACAATTTATCATTTCAGGATACAAAAAATAACAATTAAATTATTCACATACAAATTAAATAATAATCATGCAATTAATCCATCAAGAATTAAACCTTAGATCATGATTATAGCCCCTTCATCAATCTCAATCTCTAATTAAACCTACTCACAGTTCATAATTGAATTAACAACAAAATTAGAAAAGTAAAAATTAAATATCAATAATTAAAAGAGAGAAAAAACTCACAAACAGTTCTACAATTTTGATGATGCAATAGTGAAAAAAAGAAGAAATTTGTTCATAGGCTCGTCTGTAAACTTAGTCTAACGAAAAATTAGGGTTTACAAGTTGTTTAAATAGAAAATTGAAGTTCAGGGTGAATTTTGCTCGCAATTGGGTCACACATGACCGTGCGCGTGACTCAAGATTTCCGTAAAAGTTCCCGCGCATGGCATGCATGGCATGTGTGCATGGCGTGCGCATCTTCCAGAGAGTTCGAAGCCTTAGCACACGGCCACGTGAATAAAACAAGACATGTTCCCGTTCACAAACAAAAAAGTAATCTTCTCATATTGGTGGGTATAAAGGTGGATACAAGTAGCAAAAGTTGTAAATTACGAAGTACTTAATATTATGTAAATTGTATTCCTGAATTCCCACCCTAGCTAGGATGTTTTCTTTTAGACTAAAATTTGTTGGTTTAGTCTGGTCTTAACTGGTTAGGTTTGACTGGTAAATGTCTGGTCTCTGTATATTTTATAACTCTCCAAGTTTGAATTGATTTGGTCTGATCTCTTTAAGTATGGTCTGGTTTAATCTGGTCTGTTTAAGTCTGTTTTAGTCTCTATAGCACCAATTCAATTTAAAGTATTCCAAACTCCGCCAATTTAAATTTGTTTGGCATCTGATCCATGGTTCGCGGTTCCCAGGTTACTCCATTACAAAAACACAACCACACTCAATACCGTTAATCTTGTAGGATACTCTTCATGATTTGAATCTGATTACATACTATCCTTCCGTTTTAATCGCAATATGTTGAATTTTACACTATTCACATACTCTACTTTGACTACATTTGACACTATTTTTTTATGAAAATTATTTTTTTAAAAAAATATTATTCAATTCAACTCATTACAAATTTTCAAAATCTGATTTTTAATACTAGTATTTTTTTACTAATAAAATTAAGATATAATTACAGTCAAAGACGTGTGTTGGCAAATGTGAAATGTTGACTGTTGCAACTAAAAAAGAACGGTAGGATTATATACTAGCATGCTGATTATAGTACGGGTTGAGTACAAATGGGGCATAGAAACTTCTTCAATAAAAAACATAAAGTAGATAAATTCTTTAAATAAGACATATTAAAATACAGATAAAATGCATATATAGAACCATTATCGAGTTTTCTTGAAATTCTCTTTCACTCTTAATTCAGGAAGACATATACTTTTAACATAATAAGATCAATTAAGTCACAAGAAAATGTTTTTGAAATAAAATATAATTACTCCTATTTGTGTACTTTATTTATGCTTTAGTCGTATTTGTAGCAATTTCTTGAACAAGTATTAGTCACTAAAATTTACTCCGTAGTAATGGATAAACACATGTAACAAAATCAAAATGAGTTCATAAAGAGGACATTGGTGTACGTTTATATATTCAAAAGTAAAAAAAAAATCACCATTTGTTTGCAGGGAAAATTAATATAAAAGTAGAAAAAGCACGCAATTAAGTTACATATACAAATCTACAGGTAAAATTTACTTTACGCAAACTACTTGAACCAGCTAGCTAGCTAGCCAGAATCTGCATGCATGCACGCACGCAAATGACCCAATTCATGCTCGTAAATTGGGTCGGATATTCGACTTTAATTTAACTACTTGATCCGTATTTAGTTGACCGCCGTCTGTCCCGGGTCTGTATCCAACTTGGAAATCTCTACCTCGGCCGGGTTACTCTTCCCAAAATGGATCTTTTCGGAGCAAAGGAAAGCTCCGAGCTTCACAATATCGACGAGTTGTTCCTCTGTCAGCTCCGGCCGTTGCAGCTTCTTTTCCTCCGGTTCCAGCACTAGCACCACCGGCGACTTCGGTGGGAGTGATACTTGCTGGGGAAGCTTCTTCATGTCCTCACTCTTCCCTTTGTAAATCATGTAAAGAACCATTTGGAGAATGCTAAAGAAAAATCCCAATACATTCGGCACCTACATATGTAATTAAATAAATGCATGTGTTAGATAGAATCAATTAATAAATTTATACTTTTGTAATACTCTCTCCGTCCTAATTTACTTAGTCATCTTTGATTTTTCCAGTTAAAGGTGGTAAACTTTGACCAATTATTTAAACTAATATATTAATGTAAAATTTAATATTTATATACGTTTATGATATTATTTTTAACAAAAAAGATTTTCATATCATTTTCATATTATTAATACTTTCTCTATATAAACATATAATCGGTCAAAGTTAGACGTCATTGACTTGAAAAGTCAAGTTTGACTAAGTAAAATGGGACGGGTGAAGTAGTATTTTTAACAAATAATATATATTCTTATCATTTTTATATTATCAATATTACTGTGTATAAATTTATATAATTGGTCAAAGTTAAAAGTCAAATTTGACTAAATAAAAGGGACGGGGAGGGTATCTTAGAATATCATTAGTTTTATGTATATGTAGGATTCATTATTTGATCTACTATATATACTTACCGCTATGTTTATGTCTTTTAGAAGCAAACCATAGAAGAACCACACGACAGAGCTGAATGTTAAGAAAACTGATAAAAGAATTGGCATATGCTCAACGCTCTTTGTCTTGATTACTTGCCTCTGCATGATTAACAGAAATTAGTTAGCAAGAAGATTAATTAAGAAGCTTAATTATTGCAATAATTACGTATATATGTAAGTACCCAAAATACTATTAAAGCGCACAACTTTGGGACTTCTCCCAAGTACAAGTAACATGCTTTTATTCCCAATTTAAAATCAAAGCATGGTAATTTATACTTCAACATAAATATTAGCTAGCCGGAGTATTAGCTAGCTAACATGCATGCATGCTTAGTAATTAACTAAGAAAGTTGGAAAACAAGCACTACAAAAAACACGGGATTGGGCGGGATTTTTGGCTGGGTATTCCTTAAATTGGCAAGGATTTTGGCAGGGATATGTCAAATCAGTGCCAAAAACAGTTTGACACGAGCTATTTGGCACGAAATTAACGGAAAATCCGTGCCATTTCCATAATTTTTTTGTAGTGAAGAGGGAGTAGGTTCAAAACACTTACCACAATACACAAAGGGGCGACGAAGACACACAAGGAGAAAACGAGGCAAACCCAACCGACAACTTGGGCACGAACCGCCCCTTGGAAGAGAAACTGAGAGACGAGGACGACCGCCCCGAAACCTGCAAACTCCATCAAAACAATCATCTTCACTGTCTGCATCCTCGCTTCCTTGCTCGCGTAGTAGATGTAGAAGCTAACGTAAATGGTTTCGATGAAACACCCGAAGGAGTTTATGGTAATGAGAAGGGTGGTGTTCGACTTCAGGAAGGCGTAGTATATCCATAGCATTGAGCTGAAGAGCGCGATCACATATGGTATCGATTGATACCCGTCTGCTGATTTCTTCTTGTATATCTTATAGAATGTCGGCCTATATAAATCCCGTCACACAAATAATTAGTTCCAAAAAATAAGAAGGAATCACTAAGAATCTAAGTCCCACCCGAACCTAGACCCATTAGTATGAGGTCGTTAGGAGGTGCACGTCTTAAAACAAATCTGTGTGGCTTGACCTTTGTGGTTGAGCCACGAATATATGCTATTAATATCTAATTAAGGTGGTCTCACCTTTTTGGTTCTCATATAGTTGATCAATATATGATGATTAAATAAATTAGTTAATGAAAGAGAAATCATCAAAGTAATACTACAACTTACATTGGAGAGAGGAAAACAATGAAGGAGACTATGTTGCCAAGAAGTCCAAAAGTAAAAGCCAAGTGACCACCCAAGAGAGCCATTGATATGATGAAACTCTTTAAGTTGTGTGTAAAATAATAACCAGGCCACCAAGATCTGATCAGAACAGAGTTATGTATAAACTAACTCTATATCTGATGATGATCTGTCGGGCCGGCGTTATAGTATGAATTGAAAGATGAAGTTAGTTCAGAATGAATGAACTGAAAGATGAAGGGAAAGAAAGGTTGGGAGGTCTTTATATAGGGAGGGAAGTTGGAAAATGTGTTCACTAGCGGCCAACTTTAATATTGTTATTATGTTTGTACGTGCAATTCAAGTATTATGAATTTAATTTGATACTCCACCTGTATTTCATTTCTATAATACTCCCTCTGTCTATCTTATATTGTCTCGTTTTACCTTTTCGGGAAGTCTCACTAAAATTGTCTCATACCATATATGGTAAAGTTTGTTTGGTTCTAAATCATTCTTACTTTATTCTTACTTTATCAATTAATATCAACCACGCAACCCCACTTTTCTTAATAATTTTGTCACTCTCTTCCGACCCAATATAAGAGGGACGGAGGTAGTATCTCTCTCGTATGTCGTGTTCTGTTCATGACGTACGTACACTTTATTTGATTGTACAGGTGTTATTGTTGTTATTCCCAGATATATCGTATTGGTGGTTCTCCTCTATGCTACGTAAGATAGTGATGTCTTGAAATAGATTTAACACGTTAAATTTCACATTGCTATACCTTAATTAGATTTTTTTATAGGTTTATTATAAATTTAAGTTTTGAAAAATATTACAAGTATTAAATTTGTAAAAAGCTTTTTTGTTTTTACTAATAAAGAATGAAAATATCAATGATCAAAATTGTGCATTGACATATATGTTGATGGGAACGTTACAACTAAAAAAGAATGAATGAAGTAGTATATATTATTTTATCATATAAGTGTGTGTTTCCTCATTATTTTTTATAAAAAGCAAAAGAGAATTCACAAAAAAGGGGAAACATCGTTTTCCACTTTCAAAATAGTAGTAGTGTATTTTTATTCTCTAAACAGAAGGATGATTGTCAAATTTAGAAAATATTATCATATTCAAAGTCTAATAATATCAACACTTGGCGGTAATTAATCTTGTTTAGGTACAAACATGCACACAATAGACTTATTTTGGAATTCATAAATATTTTTACTTATATTTAAAGATAAAGTCCGGAAGTTCACTCTTTAAATTAGAGGCATGCCGTCTCTACGTCCGGTTCTTGATCGACCACAAAGATAAATAGAGTACTACAATGCCCAATATAATTAAAAATAGGTAGATTCTATCGTATCTTTAAGGTACCATATCTTTGTTCACATGGACCAATTAGAATGATGCAGTTGAATTATTTTAATCTAAATTAAAAATGATATAATGATTTGAACCAATCAAGAGAATGATATGTACGGTACCCCAATTTTTAGGTGAGTAACGGAGTTGTCACCTTAAAAATATCGTACCTAAAATATGTACGTGTGTGCAAGTGATTATGTGTCGCTATTTCATTAAATATTTATTCTCCGTATGAGTTAGATTTTTTTTGAAAGGACTCGGTATGAGTTAGATATAGGTAGATTCTATAGTACCCATGAGGTACCATACTTTTATTCAGATAGACTAATGAGAATGTTCCAGTTAAATTATTTAAATCTAAATTAAAAATGATATAATGATTTGACCAATCAAGTGAATGATAGGTACGGTATTCATATGAAGTTATCACTTTAGATGTATTCATCGATTCAAAAGATAGTGGAATTGCTTATCTCGGAGGCTTCTACAATTTGACGTAATAGAATTACCACATTTGATGAAACTTTCGAAAAGTTACACTACTATTGTCAAAGATTGAATTCGAGACATTAATCCACCTAGGGCCGGAGCTAGAGGGGACAATCTAGACTCTCGCACATACCAATTTTTTTAAAACATCTTATATTTTTTTGTTCAAAACTATCCTTTCCAACTAGGGCTGGAGCTAGAGGGTTTCATTCGGTTATCTCTCAACTTTTTCTCTCATTTGTTTCTTTACTTGTATTCCTGACCTATTGCATGTACTGTATGTTGATTGTTTTGCAACCATCTTGATTGTAAACTGTTTTTGTCTGAGCTAGTGGAATATTGGAACCGGGTTTCCCCAGTTGAAACCCCGCAGATTAGGAAGATTTTCTTCTGAATTGCGTCAACATATCGTGTGTCTTTACTTTTCTTATTGCGGTTCTTTGCATGTGTTAAGTTTGAGATCCGATCTGTTTGACTGTTGACTTTAATTAGTCTGCGAACAGATGCTTCTATTGTAATTCTGTTCTTGATATTGAATAAAAGAATTTTCCAATAACAACGGTCGATATAGTGTCCTAGCTTCGTCCTCAATGTAAAGCGCTCATTTAGGATCGTTGAGCCACCAGGCGGGTGAGTTAGATATATTCATTGGTCAATGTGTACATGCTCATTCGAATATGCGTTGGTCTATTTGTACGTCGGGTCCCATGATGCTCTTTTCCAATGTCATCCGGGCCAGGCCCAAACCAGGCCACTTAAAAATCTAACGCTTTTTTGTACACGTTTTCATTTATAGTGGCTCATCAAATTCGACCCTTCTTTTTCCCAGTTGTGCCTTTCTCTTGCTTTGCATTCCCAAATTTTGTAATTTTCTCTGCGGAGAATTGAATTGCACAGAGCTGAATCCAGTTGAGCTCAAAAAAGGATGGAAGGGCCAATAAGTGAGGACCAATAATGGAGGTGGGGCCCGCAGTGGATCGAGCCGTGGCACGGGTTAATGGACAACCGTGGAGATTTTGCTTTGCTTCACTTGGCTTATCTTGTCGTCGTGGTTTACGTCAGTTGGGATTTCAACATTATCGATCACCAACTCCACACTTCATATAAAAGAAGTTAAACCAACCATTCCAGCTCACTGTGTGGAAGGTTACCGTGTCCTAACGGAGGCTTCGGGTTCGAATCCCGCTAGACACATTTAGGGGAGATGAGGGAGATCTTGCTCCCAATGATTCTTCCTACCTTCACGGAGTTGCTCAGCGGCTGAGAAAGGAGATGATGATAATGAAGGTAGCGGGTTCGTGTGGTGGGAGGAGTAGTCTGAAAGGTGATGTAAGTTCTGCTGAATTCGTCCTTTGGAGCCAGTACTGACGAGGCTGACTGTGATCAGATCTGGACTTAACTTTCTAGAGGCTTTGGAGGGTAGTTCATAGACTCCAGGATTATGGGAGCGTAAACCCCGACACCTGGATTATCAAAAAAAATATATAAAAGAAGTTAAGTTTTTAGTGGTCCAATTCAATAGGATCATTCTTTGTACTTGACTTCTTTAATGAGGTTTTTCGTTTGGGATTGAGATGAGTCATCATTGGAGCTCTACTTTGTATTTATTGTTCACATAATTTATATTTTAAATTTGTTAATGAAATTCACGTTTTTCTATTTGGGATTGGGACGAGTCATCATTGGATCTCTTCTTTATGTTTCTTGTTCACATAATTTAAATTTGAACTTCATTGAAATTCAGGTTTTTGTTTGGGATTGAGACCAGTCATCATCGGAACTCTACTTTATATTTGTTGTTCACATAACTTTTATTTTGAATTCAATGAAATCCATATTTTTATTTGGGATTGTGATGAGTCATCATTGGAGCCCTACTTTATATTTGTTGTTTGCACAAATTCTATTTTAAATTCAAAGAAATCCATCGTTTTCTATAAATTACACAACTCTTTTGTTCTTGTTTTTTTGTTTTGGAAGAAAGAAATTTAATTACTTATACTAGTGGAAATGACAAGAGACAAAGCAATTCAGTAGTTCATAACTACCCTGGGGTGATACATAGAATTGAATAGTCCCTGAGAACTCATCAAGTTTGCTAACCTCGCAATCTGGTAGGCTAATCTATCAGCATCACTATTCATGCTACTAAAATAGTCGGATAAAAAACTAGAGTTATATGAAAGAAAATAACAAAAGGAGTCATAATTCCTGGTTTTCCCGGTCACCGGTAAGGGAGAAGAGGTTTGATCATCCATCTCTAAAGAAATCAGTCCAATTTCACCAGCCATCGAGAAGGGAGAAGAGATTTGTTCAGCCACCTCCAAAGGAGTCCGTCCGATTTGACCAGCCATCGTAAAGGGAGAAGAGGTTTTCTCAGCCACCTCCCAAGGAATTAAACCGCTCTCACAATCTAGTGGAATTTCAGGCAGTGCTGATTCATTAGCACCGTCCCTGAGCCATTTTTTGGATATCACTGCCATCAACTTCCATGCTAATTTCAACCTCCACTAGATTCTGCAAGTTCATTGCCCTGCGCTTCCTAAACTCTCATTCATCCAGAGTCTTAGCTTGGTTGTGCTCTTCTTCCTCACCCATTTTACCCTTTCCCTTTGAGATAAGTCCCTGAACCAGATAGCATCCCAGGCTACCTCTAAAGCCTTCTCCTGAATTCCTACACATGAGTTTGTTCTTACAACTCAATTGCAAAAAACAATAAATATAAATGTATTTAGTGCCATATTCATTTAACGTCGAATTGAGCGTCAAATTTCAGCAGCTATTTGTGCCTGCACTTTTTCCATTTCTTATTTGCGTTCTGGATTAAACATGCTAGTGTCGGTACTTGGCTCAATGGTGATTGCACTTGAAATTGGAATATCCAACTCGTAAAGATGGATAAAGTTGTGCAGTGCGAAAGTTGATACCATAATCGCAAGTTGATATTGAATTTCCATTAACGGCATCCTATGTAGTATCCACCATCGGGACTTCAGTACAGTGAAACATCTTTCGATTGTTGTACGCAGGCTCGAACTTGATTAAAGTCCATCCTACAATATAATATGAACTACTATTATTACAATATCATAAAAATAGTTTCATAGCATAAGATTCATGAAGGAGTAACATTAATAAAAATGCATATAAAGTAATAATAAAGCATTCAGATTATATTATACATAACAGAGTACATTTATATGTGTTAAGAGGCACGTCTAAGAACTCAAAATTTGTGCCAATCACATAGAGCAAAACATATTCCACTTTTGTGGCACCCATAATTTTATTTAGCATACTTAGGTTCACAATTTATTGAAACCTCATTTAAAGTTATTATAACGACAGTGATGGATAGTTGTCTCAAGCTTCATCATTACTTATATCCA